TAGATGTTATTAAAGATGTAGATACCAGATGGAACTCTACCTTTTATTCTATTGAATGTCTTGTATCTTTAAAACCTACTATTATACAATTACATTCAACTCTTAATAATCATACTGTTAGGGAGATTAGAAGAGAAGCGGAAACGATGAGTTCTTTTCTTCCTTCAGCAGATGAATTTGAATTATTGAATGAACTTATTGTAATCCTTTCTCCTTTTGATGAAGCAATGCAATTTTTAAGCGGATCTGAATATCCAACACTTGGTTTTATGACATCAATGTTGGAAGAACTCACTCGCCGGCTTAGGCAATTTACTGGACAAAGTTATAAAGCAATTTTTGTAAAAGACACGATCTTGAATAACTTAGTTGAATGTTGGGAAGATTCAAGTGAGATAGGATTGTGCTGTTCTTTTCTTGACCTACGATTTAAGAGCTTAAATTTTTGTTCAAGTGATTTACGCCACACAACAATCCAAATTATGCGTAATCAATTTAATGAACTAATACAAACTACAAATGATAATACCATATAAACCACTAATGATAATAATACAACCTTAACACTACCTTAATGTAAAAAGCTTAAAATAGCAGTATTTTTTTCTCATTCATGAACAGAAAGCACTAATGTACCTGATGAATTTGACCGGTATTGTGAAATACCTGAAATTTCTCTTGAAGAAGAATCCTATCCTTTGATTTGATAGCACCAAAACAAAACTCTCTTTCCTATTTTGGCAATCTTGGCAAGATGATATCTTGCAGTGCCAGCTTCCTCCGTCCCATCAGAGTGTCTGTTTTCTGATGCAGGCAACCATATAACAGATAAGTGCAACAGACTCGATCCTGATTTATTGAAACAATTGATATTTCTTAAAAAAAATATGAGCAGCATTAATGTTTTTTCTACTTAAGGTAATTTATATATTAAATGCTTTATGATGATATTCTTAATAAGAATCATATGTTTGTGTATCTTGTGATCTGTATCTTACTTATAATATTTATTATTAAGTAGACCTTGTAAGTATTTCTTATTTAAAACATTCGATTTGATTCGTAAGTATTTTCATTAAATGTGCCTGCTATTTTAGTTGGGTAATCGATTATCATTTTAAATTTCAAACTTATGATTACATAATTTAAGTCATAATTTTAAGAGTATAAAAGATCATTTATTTCTTCTATTTAAACTTACAATTAAATTTACAAACACTACTATTAAACCGCCTTCTACTCATTTATTTTATATGGAATTGGTGAGTACAATAATCAGTTATTAAAATTTACAATTCAAACTTACGAATGATTACTTTAAATAGTGCTTTCAAATCCCAGGTTTTTTAATTCGCATTAGTCTGGTATGCATTTATTATCTTATCTATTTTTTGTAAATCAAGCTTATATCGTGCTTGCCTTTCAAACAGCACCTTTCGAGTCGTTTTATTATTATTAATTTGGTGAGTCCGAAGATTATATATTCAATGTTTAAAATCTCAAAAATTATGGTTAAATTTAGGTTTTTATCTTTATACATAGTACATTCCGGGTTACTTAATTCTTATTTATTTTGTGAGTATAAATATCAATTTTATTTGAACCTTATGATAATGACCCAAGTTTATAAGTTTTACTTTTAAAAGTGCTTTTTGGGTTGTAAGACTTGTATTAGCCCAGTAAGTATAAAAATCATTTTAATTGTTCCATTATTGTTTCAATTTAAGCTTACGTAGTATCTATATATTATTAAATACATACTGTAGGTGTTATCGGTCTCTTTATTTAACTCTCATGTATTTGTGGACATCTTCTGTTTTACATTAAAATTTTACTTTGTAGGATCTTTGAGATCTAGTCCTGTAAGTATAAATGTTACTTACGATTTTATTATAATGTTTCTAGTAATCAATACCTAATTGAATATTTATCTGATAATTGACTTTCAAAATTAATCTGTTAATATAAACATCAGATAAGCAAATAAATCTCAAATGGTATCTCTGGCTCTTTTTTTTTTTTTTTTAAAAAAAAAAAAAAAAAAAAAAAAAACTTATCATATTGACGACTTTGGAGAATTTGATCTCTGGGAAATTTGCTGTCAGAATAAAATTATTCGTATACTTGTTTTGGGTTTTAAACTAAGAAACTTTATTATTATTAATATTGGAATGAACGTATATAGGTATTATATTTATTTAGATATTATAGTGAGGTAACTTTCTGGCTAGTGATGTAAAAGGTTGTTGTATATTTTTATTACCTTAAGCTTTTTTCCTGTTCCGAGATGCCTATCTTGTCCTATTAACATTACAATTTTAAATTATAAAATTGTATACAAATGCAAAATTAAAGTAAATTGT